CGCAGTTATGCGTTCTCAGCCCCGCCCACTGCAATGCATTGGATAGACGCGAGAGGATGAACACGCTGAACTGCGTAGGCTCACTCACTCTCGCAGGGAAAAAACATAGGACCCCCACATATTATATTCAATCAAGAGCTCTTGATGAAAGAATTTAACTGTATCCTTTCTTCCAAATTTCATTCACGTACGCAGAAGTTACCTGTAAAAATCGATTTTAGTATCGTGGTTTTTGGTCCTTTTGCAGTAACAATAATCCCATTCATCGCCAAAACATTGTCTCTTCCCTTTTGATATTATCTAAGTGTCAAATCAAAGTTATCATCGCCTCATAACTCGACGATGAATTTATTTTAGGATCTGCTTCTTTCTCGCATCTCATAGAGGAAAACTTAGCTGGTAATGCCTATACTCCTGCAAAAGGATCTGCTAACTCAGACAATCGGTGCCATAGTCGCGGCGGACAGTCGAAATCTGGCAGTGCCGCGGCGGACCCAATTGACCATTGAGAACGGGGCGAGGGAGCGGTCCCTTCTTGTAGGTCACGGTGACGTCACAAGCAGGCGAGTGGGACGCTTCTCCAGGACGCGCAAATCTCTGCTACGGAGGTACGCCAGATTTGCGAGAGCCCCGGAGCAGAGATTTGCGCTCCGGAGGTACGCCAGATTTGGGACACCCCCGGAGCAGAAAATGGCAGAGCTCTGGAGCACAAATGGGAGGTCTCCGGAGCACAAATGGGAGGTCTCCGGAGCACAAATGGGAGGTCTCCGGAGCACAAAATGGGAGGACTCCGTAGCATAAATGGGAGGTCTCCGGAGCACAAATTGGAGGGCTCCGGAGCATGAGTGGCAATCCCCAGCAGGGGAAACCCCGCGGCTCGGCCATTTCTGCTCCGGAGGTATGCCGTCGACTGTCTGAGAAAGTAACTCAAGTGCACCAAGTGAAAATCTCATCTTGCTTAAATTGCCATCAATGTCGTAATTTCTACTTCCTGCCTTAGGAATCTCCTAAAATAGATTATGCTAACCTTATCACTAAGCTAGACCTATATGTGTACACTGCTTGAAAGCGAAACACATCTAAATAGTTCTTTTGATGATCTCACTCGGATGCTGACATACGACTCTATTCCCAACAATAATTTTATTCGTCGCCAAAACGTTGTCTCTTCCCAATTGAAATTATGGGGTCAAGTCAAAATCATCATCGCCGTTCAAGCTTTTCAGTATCTGCCAATGTCCACTGTCCATTTTTCGGTCGAAATTGTCTACAACATTTTAGATCCGACTCTCCCAAAAATGTATTTTCTTGCCACATTTCATAATTTCTCGTGCACTACTCCCCCATCATTAAAAAAAATTTCTTTGGTCCGTTCCAAATGAAGGGGGAAGTGCAGGCTCCCAAAACAAAGTTGTAAACTTGCTTAGGCGGTCTGTGGGGATTATTCGACATACTGAGCACAATACCACACTCTTTTTAGGTTTTGGAATCCTCGCAGAGCTACAGTAGATATACGGTAAGGAGTCGAAGTCGTAGAAGGACGCGAAATTGTGTACAGGAAATCTGATCATAGTGACGAATAGCGCGCTCATTTCGCAAAAGCGCAGAAGGTGGTTGGTATGCGGCAAATTACCGTAGCTAATAAGATGTCAATTCAGTGAGCAAGCATGATCTTCGTAACCAGCATGCTCGAATCGGGTAGGCAAAGGAACAAACCTGCAAATTCGACCCAGCTCATCAACCACATCTATCAAGCCGATGCACGCTCAAGAGACGCTACATTGGAAAATAATCATATTTATGTTAGGCCTAGGGCAGAGTTCACGCGAAAGACAACTGTAAAAATATTCGGTGGTGATAGTTTTCCAACACGACTAATCGTGACTAACTATTACAACCGAAATACAAAAAGATCGTGAACTCGTAACACTTGTCTTGTAGCGATGAATCGCGACGATCAAATCGCGTGAACTCTGCCCGGGCGTGAAGCGTAGCAGATAATCCCCTAGACAAGTATTAGCAAATCTGTGGTTTCGACTTTATACCGTACCCCTAGATAACCCCATGTCCCACCATGCGAAGAGAATAAGGTATTTGTGATTAGCATGTCAGAAAACCCTCGGTCAAATTTTAGCCAACTCAGTGATTTCGACCAGCACAGTAATCAAATGATTTTGTGCAAAAAAGTATGATGCTGCACACAGTAGTGAGAGACCCCATATCAAGTGTGAAACCCCAACCTTGACGAGCACTGCCTCCAAATTTCAAACTCATTAGAGGCACCGTTCACCCAAATCGAGGATGATGAGACTTTCATGATAAAAAATCGCCCAAGTTTAGCCGCAAAAGATGTCTTCCGAAGCGAGAAAACCGCTCCAAAAAGTCGCCATGACCCCCCCCCACCCCATCACCGTGGGTGGCCTGTAGATGAAAAGCTCCAAACTTGGGCTATAATGTATATTTTTCATAAACCCTTTCTTCTTATGATCAAAGATTTTGCGATATTTATGTGTGTCTACCTTAAAGCCCAAATTCGAACTTGGATGTTCAGACCACCCACGTTGATTGGAGAAGTCATCGTGGCCGTTTCTGCTTCTGAAGCATTCTCGCTTCGGATTTCATCTTTTGCGCGAAACTCTGGCGTTTGTATGAGGGCATGGGCTTCCAGATTCGTGTGGAGGCGGAGTTTTGCTAACTCAAAGCGTTGCTGTTTTTGATAACGAGAGAGTTCGAAAAACACTGCTATAACGTCGAGGTTTGGCAAGTTTATTATCAAGATCAGCGGGAGTCCGCAACCCGCCTTTACATGAATTCAGAAGCCGATCACACATAATTTGAATCAGAGGTATTTTTATTAGGCAGGGAAACAGAATTTTGTAACTTTGGGGCAGTTCTTACAATTGACCTTAGGTGGGGCAGGTAGGTAATCTGAGAATATATTGTGAGTATACTCAATTTCACTGGCTTTTCTTGAGAGTCAAAGGCAGTTTTTCTTATGAATACGTTCACTGAGGGGCACCTAGGGCACTTTCGTCCAAACAGACAACGCTCTGTAGGCGGCACCGAGGGCATTTTGATTAGGCAAGGAAGCAGATTTTTATACGTTTGGGGTAGTTTTTATAATTTTCACTCCTTAGGTGGCGCGTAAGACAATTTGAAAATAAGTCGTGAGTAAATGCTCGGCTTTTTTTTTTTCAGTGAGAGCAGTAAGATATTTTCTTTATAAATTTGTTCTTTAAAGGCGGTGTTCCGGAAAAACTTCGCTTTTCGTTTTCTCCATCTTTTCGGAGCCTTATCGTCATGCTGTAACCATATCTGGGCTTTTTCAGTGCATGAAAATGACTAAAATAAGCTCTTTTCTCCAAATCCGCGTTTGCTCAGAACTACGTGTAAGTGGGAGGGTTCGGAAGAGTTCTGGAATGGATTTTAAGTCTTCCAGATGTGGTTTTTCGCTCCAAACTTCATTGATAGATTATTTGGAGGGTCTACTATTGCACACTTTAACTCAATCCATGGCTTTGAGGAACGATGCATTTAACCGGCATGTAGAGCATGTGTTCATTGCCGAAAATTTCGTGCTCAAAAAATATCATTTGATTACGTTTGCCTAAACCACACCAAATATTGCGACAAAATAGCGCAAGAGTACTCAGGTGTCATGGTTTTTGGGGGTGGGGTCTCTTTTCGTAGTAAGATTCCATATTCAATTTGACGAAATCCTAACTTGGAGGACTTTTTGACAAGTCTTGAGACGGCTGATCTTTTGCTGTCGAAATTGATTACGAGAGGAATGCCATATGGTATGCATGTTGCGGATGTCCCCCTGCTACCAAAATGAAGTGTATTCTACTATAATAATTTCCTAACGATCCTAAATGTGTTGAGAGAAACTGGATGAAGCAAAGTTTTTGAGAGGGTAGTAAGGTGAAGTCTTTTTACTACGAATTAGTGTCCGTGAGAGGCGGGGAGGGGGGTGTTGTTGAACAAAATATTCTCAGAAAGGAGTAGGAAGTTTATGTAGAGATATTCTTAGCCGCAACTAAACCTAATATTGCATCTGCCCCGAGCCACTTGCTAGCGACCTGTAGGGTACAAATAAGCGTGTGCAAAAATCTTCCCATTGAGTCCACCATTGTTTTGTTTTTTAAGATAGAATACATTTCCATAAACAGCTTCAAGTAACTCTTGCCAAATCTTCAACGAAATGTGAGATTTAGGACTAAGTTGCCACTTTCGATAGCGCCAATGTCCTCCTCACCTTACGTTGTACCCGCTAACAATTATCAGAATTATCTGGCTGCCACTGAAAACAGATCAATAACCATCTGCAATTAGAACCAAGCACCACTGTTCGTCATCAAGCCGTCAAAGGAAGATCAAACTGCTATCTGAACACATATTCGGGAGCGTGCCACGCTGTCACCAAGCAGCCTCACGGCAAGAGTCACTGCATATCGCCCACGATCTAATCTGCTGACCTAAAAGCCGCCGTCGCTACACGCAGGAGTGTCCGCCACCCGATCGATGCCGCTTTTATAGCGGACGCATGTCGCGCCACCGTATCGCGGCCACCTGCGAATCCACGATTTTCAAAGTATATATACGCGGCGAATCGGCCAGTGCGCCGAATCCTTCAGCGCTCCGTTCTCATGCCCAGCTCTTCGCCTCCTTCCTCCTTTCTAGGCTCTACCTGACAGATGACCTCATGGGTAACCAGGGCTCCGCCTTGGCCCTACCCTGTTGCAGCTATTTTTCGTTTACTTGGCTGAATTTGGATTTTATTACAGTGTTACCGTCATAGCATTTCAGTATGATTCCACTTGAGCCAAGTGAGAAGTTTCCTCATCTTTTGTTTACACTCTCAATCGCTGCAGTGCAGAAGCATGTCATCTTCCGTCCGAGTATTTTCCGTGTGGTGACTATTCACTATCGAATAGGGACTCGTGCTCCTTCCTTACCTCGCTGCTAGCCACAGTTGTACTTTACAATCGATTTTTTCCAGCGATTAACATGCGGTCCGTGTGTGCACAACGTAGTTTTTCAGATGCTTTAGTGTGATATATAGTTGACTTCGAAATACGCAATCGTGTCTGCTGTCCCTATATTGATACCCTTGTACACAATTCTGTCTCTCTTCGATCTTCAATCATGAGTGATCTCAATCCGCTTCAACACGACGATAATCCAGGTATGATGTTTTGCTTTCGTTTTTATTTTCTTCCTTAAGCACATTTGTGAAGCTACTTATGCTGCGATTGATTGATGCTTGACTAGGTAGTTTTTGTGATGTTCTATGATGTTTTTTGATCGTGTATGCCAGTTCTCACAAACGATATTCTTGAGTCTAACTGTCTAAAACGCGGAACTTCAAAGTTCTGTGCTTTTACAAATAATCCCAGTGTTGATTCTGATAAATGCCTGCTGTGGCATTTATCAGAATCAACACCGGGATTATTTGTAAAAGCCTTTGTGCCTGCCGTTTTTAGACTGTAGGAACACACTAGTTTTCAGGTCACAGAACAATTCATATCGTTTATTAGTTCAAGCTCTATATTGCTGATGATTATGAAAGTACTATAACAATTACAGATAAAATCAGCACGTAGTTATACGCTTGAAGCTGTTAATGGCTTGACATACTTTTCTATAGAGGAGCTATTCCAGTAATGATTTGAAGATATCGAAGATAGCTTGTGTTCGACACAGCAAAAGTTTAACCTAAACAAATCACAAAACTTTTGTGCAGATAGACAGTAATCATACGATGTAGACAGTCAAGATGTTAGATGTGAATGGGTCGCTTTTTGTTCAAAACTCAATCAAGCTATACAAAGTCTTGAGCACCGATTAAATCCAGTGTGCTCATGCCAATCATGTATCCGTCAAATGTTGTAAGATTACGTTAGTTATACTGTCAAGATCTTAAGGTGTGCGTATTCTCTTAATGGGCTGATTATTTGCCCAATGGATTCAAGGCCTTATTTTTGGTTCACTGTGTTGGACTGATGCACGGTGTCGCGTTACCAATTTAACTTTATTAAAGGTTCGGTATGATTACTGGTTATGGTCCGGTTAGCGTTGAAACAGCAATCTTTTGTGAAGCTTACTAATTCTAAGCTTCTCATCCGTTATCGTATTAGCATATTACATAGGGTACCGTACTATGAGAAACACCATTTTCGTGGTTAGCGTCAAAGCACTCTAGTACACGAAGCTTCAGCAAACTTTACTTTTGTTTAGTTGTCAATGGATTAGCTCACCAACATTTCGCCCTTAGCAAACTATATTTGAACGTTCGAGCAGTGCGTTCGGAAGTCCAGTGCCGTGTCCCTGTGTATTGTTCCTTTGTCGGAACTCACTCATGCGCTTATTTCTGGCGACAGGCTATGCTTGAGACAGTCTGGCTCAGTGTTTTTCTTGAAAAAAAAACAGTTTTTTGGTTTCGATTTCGCCACATCACCATTCTGTAAGATTTCTAGTCTGCGAGACTTTTCAACGAGGTTTGCTGAAGCCGACAAATTCACTGTACTCTCTGCTTGGAACATGATTCTTCGTACACCACAAAAGGCCCTTCATTCAAACTCAAGGTGATGGGAGTCTCATGTTAGATGGTGGCAGATCCTAAGTAAGCAATCGCTTTAGTCTCGCAGCAAAAGATGAATTCGGAAGCGAGAAAACCGCTCCAGAATTGTACAACGGTTCCCACTACCAACTGGGTGGTCTGAAGAAAAAGTCCAGGGGCGGTGTGTTTATCCTGAGACCCAAATTCGGACATGTACCTTTAGGCCACAATGATGCCGAGCCAGCGTGGCCGCTTTTACGTTCTGGAGCGTTTCTCGCTTCGGAATCATTTTGCAGGGAGGAGCGATTTTACTTACGAGGCCCCGCCATTATAGAAAACTAGCTGGCTTGCCCGGCTCCGCCGGGCCTGCCAGCTAGACCCGTGTACGTATGTTCCGAATAGAAATTTTTATCTCTGAACCGATTGGGACCGAACTTTGCACACATACACTTCGGGGCAGGGAGCGTGTCACAGCCCACTTTTCGTTATCGATCGATGTCGATTTTACCGATTTTTTGCAAAATTTGAGCTAGGGGGCTAGGATTTTGCACAGGGGGGTAATCGAGCATGCTGATCACCCCTTCGGGGTGATCAGCATGCTCGATTACCCCCCTCTGCCAAATCCCAGCCCTCTAGCTCGAATTTTGCAAAAAATCAATAAAATCGATATCGATCGATAACGAAAAGTAGCCTATGACACGCTCCCTGCCCTGAAGTATATGTGTGCCAAGTTTGGTCCCGATCGGTTCAGAAATAAAAATTTGTATTCGGAACATTCGTACATACATACAGACATACAGACAGACATACAGACAGACAGACAAACAGACATTCAGCTTTATATATAAGATAAAATTTTTCACCCTTAAAGGCAGTGTCCCGGCAGATTCGTGCTCTGGAGGATATTGCTATGTTGGGGTTCCTGGTCATCCCACTGACATCCAGGTGCAGTGCGGCTGGTTGATGTTCCCTTTGGGTCGAGAAAATAGCCCTTGAACTGGCGCGCGCTCGAACGACTTTGCTTACCTTTCGACGCGGGACCCACAACCACTCTCCCGCATTGTGCATGCTATCTAAAGCAAAAATTACAGGCAGCAGGGTCTTCGTGCCAGGGACTCCCAAATTTCCACAGAAATTCTCGTTCGAGCTGCCTTTTGAAATTGGGTAAAACGCCCCGAAAAAGGTCTTTTCACCCGTTCCAAAGCTCAGATTCGGGATCTACGGGTCGAAAAGGCCCAAAACATGTAAAAAGATGGAAATACAAAATCTGCCGGGACACTGCATTCAATATGAATGGGCAATTTGTGCATTATCTACAGCTGAAGTTTTACTTCACATGCCAACAACTCGACATGATTATGGATGGGGCGTATGTGTCCGTGTAGCGCCTTTACTGCTTGTTTAAAGGTCGCCCTTGCTTGTTCGGACTTGCTCGGACACAAACATAGTTTCGCTTCGCGGGATTTTTGTATTCTTGGTTTAAACTGTATGTTGAACCTCGAACCCATCTTTCATCGTTTTCCGCAAATATACGCGCTAACCTTGGCCCCAGCCAGACTTCGCTCAAAAGCGGCCAGAAGCGCTCAAATTTTTCTAATGTCTGTACTTTTTCATGTGAGGAGAGATGAGAGAACTAGAGAATTTGAGCACTTGGCCGGAGCCTTTGAGGACAAAGATGCACTTTTAAGAGTTTGGCAGTTAATGAATATGATTGGACAGCGTCATTCCCACCGTGGTTTAGTGCTAATTTAAGATTTTGGTTTGACTTGACTGTTGGAAGCAGTTCTGCAGTCACTTTATCCACTGCTTATCATTTTGCACATTCATCATTCTTTTTTCTTTCTGATTTGCTGCGCATTCATTCACATATCAGTTTGTTTTTAGGACCTTCGAGTTCAATGGGTCCTCCACTATATATACCCTCATCAGGAGCAGGTCCAATACGGCGTCGTCGTTTCAGCACAGCCAAAATTCAGCCGGTACTTAACCTTATCTTGCCAAACATATCGCGCATGTGCCAGTGATTCTTATTCTCGATTTTTTGTTTCAAAAAACGCTAGACAAAAAATTATGTGTACAGTCGAGTATATTTTGCGTTTAATATAATGTGCTCTCACTGCAGGTAAAATGCGGTAAAATTTGGCCAGTAAGGCTGGCATTTTGCGCGCGCAATTGGCCAGCGTCACAGGTATAGCTATCTTCCTACACGAAGATATTGCCCATTTTACCTGCAGTGCAAGCACACTATATTAACACATTCACGATAATACGACCCACCGGTGGGTTGTACGTGTCCTGCCATTTCGGACAATACGACCCACCGGTGAGACGTACGCTTCCTGAAGTTTTTGATTTTGCTAGTTGACGGTGAAATTTTTCAGGTAAAACGAGTAAATTTTTGCATACACCTCTTGGAGTACTTTCTAAAAGATTAGCACTTCAGAACGCAGGACGCACCAGTGACCTGAGAATATTACGCAAACTAATTTTGCGAAATATGTTCTGGTCCAAAATGGCAGTCATCGAAAAATCGGCCCTGTCGTGAATGTGTTAAGCGGAAAATCTACTCGACTGTATAAGATGCAGTCAGGTTGAACTTGAGCAGGTTTCTCCCAGATCAGAATTGGAACAAATTCACATGTGGTTGTTTTCTTGAGCACTGTTTGTCATGGTGATATTCTAACAGCGAACGAAATTCATAGCAGCATATTTGTTTCTCGTTTTGAGTATTATCATTCAGACACGGATCAAAAAAGTCATGCAGTCTGATGAAGAAATTGGTCGTATGGTTGCTTCCGTTCCAGTGGCTATCGGACGGGCCATGGAGCATTTTGCAGAGAAATTTTTACAGGTATCTTATTCTTTTTTGAAAGCCATTCTGATATTTTGATAATCACCAGTCTTAGGCAGCTGCTCAGGCTACTCAAATGAGCAATTCACGGACATTAACACCTGCGCATATGTGAGTTTCTGATAGAGGCAATTTTCTATTACATCATGTTCAAGAACCCTCTTGTTTTTTTTCTTTCAATAAAGCCTCGGTTTTCTAAGGAAGCAAGCAATGATGGCGAATCCACACTTCCACTTTCTCGCAGACATCTTCAAAGAGGTTGCAGTCCCCGGTCGTATGGGGACGGAATTTGATCCCTCGCTCGCACGACAACAAATGCAGTTGCTGCAGGTTTGTTTTCTTATTGGGGTATATCGGTGTGCAAAGACCAGGATGTAAGCCATTTTTATTTGTTCAGAAAAGGTAGGAGCAACAACCTTGTCAATATATCAGATCACACCGTGCTCTGGTTCATTTTTACCATTTACAAAATCTGCCTGGGTTTTTTATAGATTTTGCCAGACTTCAATGTTGGTTACTGAAGTTTCTCTTGCGATTACATTGCTAACAATCATGCAGAACAATGGAAGCGGGCATCCACTTGGTCGCTATCTATTGTGGTTACAGAATATGCTCCGTAGCTTTTGCTTTCGATAGGATCCGATTCAGGACTAAAACTATAGAGCAAGGAGGGGCGGGCAATCTGAGATTACGAAACGTTCTTTTAGCTAGCTATCGTTGAATATAAAAATGTTACTATTCATCCATTATGCATGTAAGCTCCTGATTATTTGGGACCAGTCTAGCACTATTTTCGCACTCTTACGCTGATCGACAGCACCACTGCTGTTCTGGTACATATGTATATTCAACACACTAAAGAGACTTGCGACTCCCGTCTAACATATCAAGCAAGCTAGCATGACTTCGATATGCTTTAGTTTCAGCATAAAATTCACATCAGAGTTCTATCGCTCTGTGTGATCCATTGCGATGCAATTAATAATTCTCATCAAACCACATGTGAACATGGTGTAGTTTATTTACATTGTTGTGACCTCTAAGCACTTTCATAATGGTGGCAAACATTCATCTGATATTGGGAAGCGCTCATGTGGGAGTACGGCTGTATAAAGTAGATGCAGCAGTCGACTGCATGAACGGCTAGGTATCTTGATTCACCTATGATGTTACTGCTTGTTCATCGTGTTTACCAAATAGATTTATGTTTTTGTTGAAAACATGATCTTACCTCTATCGCTAAGCACAACTAGTCAGAAGTTCTCCGAAAACGTCTTCAGCTCTTCGTATCACTTCACGTGAGTTCGCGCTTAGGCTACCTTCATCTTACAGGATCTATATGCATTGTAAATGCTATATTGTTGGCAACTAGTTGAAGACATACTTTAGCGCAAATAGCAAGATTCAGATTGAAAATATTGCTGTCTACATGATTATAGCCTACCAGCAACGCATGAGCGGTCCACATGGACCTACTCTAAAGCTTACCTGCTTACATAATCTAGTCATCTGTTTTCAAGGACATCGAGGACCAGGAAATTGTTTCTGAATAGCACCACCTTCAAAAATTTGATCATGAGCTGAGTCCAAAGCAATTGTCTCAGAACTGCCCTAGATTCATACTATTCATCCAGTACGTAATCTAAATCGAAGAGCTGCGTACGAGAAAATAATCAGTTTTCCGTGCTATGGGATTTTGTAACGATGAGTGAATTCTGATGTCTCTTTTTTTTTCAGGCAGGTCTTCCTCCTGTGGCTCCAACCAGCTGTGCAAGTCCGGTATGCAGTCCTTGTACCCCTGTCTCCCCTATGGGTGTAAATGGATCGGCATCGTTTGGAATGCCGCCGCAATCAGCAAATGGCACCTACTCAGTTCCGCTTCCTGCGTCAGTACCCTATACCATACCCTACTCCCCGATGATACCCACTATGGCTGGGGCGGGACAGACACAAAATGTTCCTCCTATTCAATATGTAAGTACTGCAATTTTTTGAAGACCAAACACTAACGCAAAATGTTCGCAAATTTGTGAAGAAAATATTTGCTTTATGCAAATTAGAAGGTAGAGTGTATCTCTACGATGAACCTCAGAACTGTGCGCAGACAGTGTATCCTTAGCGCTTCTGCCCTCAAAGGCAATTCCCTTGCAACTACCGGGCTTCAAGTTCTGCTTCTCTTTGGCCTTCTTCGCGTATATTAATTGGTATGGGGATGGTGGACAGCGATCGTTTTTAGTTCAGCATGGCTTTAGTTTGCGCGGAGCATATTCAGCCTCGTAGTGCTTCTGGCTATGTTGCAAAGTGCAAAAACACCTTTGGATTGTCTCAGTGAAAGTATCACTGCTCCAGCCCCTCGGTCCTCGCGTGCTGTAACACTGTTTTTGAGACAGCGTGTAGGTTTTCGCTTGCATTCCATATCACAAAGAAACAAAATCTGTAATTGTTCATCCAATCGCAGGCTTTGAATTAGCAGCGGTTTAGAAAGCACTTTTTTCATTATTAAGATGTGTGAGCGGTGCTTTTTTTGCAGCAAGTGCCGCCGTCGGCTATGGCAACAGCAGTTCCACCTTCTCCTCCTGCAGCGCCAGTTTCATCGACACGTAAAACAACGAATGGGAAGAAAGAACCTCCTGCTGATGGCGAAAAACCTAAAAGGGGGCGTCCACGTAAAATTAAGCGCTCTGAGAAGTAAGTTTCGCCGAGCAGCTTTTTGTGAAGAGAAAAATTGAGATTTGTTTAGATGCCTCGACGAAGAGTTGTGCGAGGAAGTTACTAATGGGATTGAAAAAGTGAGTGCTTGAGAGCATCAGTGATACAATTACTATTCACAATACCTCAAGGTTATTTGCATGTGTTGGTGGAGCTTGCGTTATTTTTCTTCATTCTCACATTTTGTTTTTTACCCATTTTTCACCGCTAATTTTTTGGTTTTGAGAAACTCGTTAGCACGGGCTTTTGGATGAAGAAACACCCAGATACTTGTGCCTGGCATCAAACACTGGGAGCGGTAATGCGTATATAGTTATGTTTGCAATTGCTCAACTATTCATACATGCTGGCCATGTTCACACTCACTTCGTTCCGTATGCGTCTGAAAAACGAAGCTAAACTTTTTTTGGCGCAATGAATTTATACAAAATTTTCGCCTTGTTTTTGGATGTAGACAACATTATTTTGTTCTGTTCTTGTTATTATTTGGGCCCCAGTAAACTCCTGCTAATATCATCGGGATATCATGTTCCACAATTGCAGAAGTATGTGTTTCCTTGGCTACTTCTAAAGTTGGTATATAATTTAGCCATTTCTAGATTTGAGGCTATCTGACTTTGTCGAAGTAGTTTCTTGCTAATTCGTTTTTCTTCGGAAAAAAAAATCTCGCTTACTACAACCTAATGGCATTATGGTTTTGATTCTATTTGCAATCAACACTTCGGCTTTGGGAATAGTTCAAAAATTTTTATAGGCCCTTCTAATTCTAGTCGGTTTATGGTAGAAAATTCCTTCTTTGCCGCGGCCTATCTTTTATCATCATAACGCTGAACTCCAAACTTCGGACTGCAAAGTTAACACTGGTGGTCACTCAGTTCAATTACCAAGCTGATGTAGATCCCTCATAATGCACTCAAGAAGCTATTAGGCTCGTAGAAATTGAATGCATCTGTTACAAACAATGGAAGATATTTCCGCTTAAGAAGGTGATATTTACAGGAAGATCAAGATCGAGCTTTGATGCCTCCACCTGCACTTCCGCTGGGACGTGCCAAACCTGTAGCGTGACCCTGTTGTACGGAACGCATTTCATTGTTATACTTCCTTCTCATCGTTCCTCTATTACGAGTTCCTCAGAGAAGAACGGAGAATCACCGTTTCATATGGATCTGATGGTACAGTGTAGCATCGCGATTCGTTTTCCACAAAGACTTTAATTTTCGTGTTTTTCGTGTACTGTATTGAATGTTGATTAGTTTTTCTGATGACATGTACTGTTTTTCGATGTATTCTTTCAAGATTTAGTTGTGTTGTTTGTTATTCGACCGTTGTGTTGTGTAGTCAGTCACGTTTTCATCAACATTCAATGCACAATTGTCGAATCTCTTTTGAGATCGAAGAAAGTATTTGATTTATTTCATTCTCACATAAAAGAAAATATGCTTGTGCAAACAGGTGAAAGTTTGATTGAGATCGTTGGTTGTGATTTAAGTCAAGTATAGTCAAAAAAATGAAGCACGATAGCAGCTAATCGAATTGTGAGCAACATCAGTCAAATACGGTGTAAATGTATCGCTTCGTACTAGGAGGAACAATCCTATTACCAGCTTCATCGTATTCAACGCCTTCTTCGTCTTCTTCACTTTCGTCTTCCTGGATAGTTAACCGTCAGTTGATGAGATAGAATTACGTCAGATTTTGAAAAACCCAGCATGTAAACGATACCAAGTCGCATTGGCAGGATGGGAAGAGATCAGACCATCTTCTGGTACAAATTAGTGTTTTTATCTGAAGTTCAAAAGTTTTGGGTTCCTGCAGCCGGTTGCAGATATGCTTTCTCTACTTGCTAAATGTGGCGCTATTCCATTAACCGGGCCCCAAATTTTTTTTATCATGGATCTAGGCACTCAGAACTGTTCAAATTAGGGCTCTATTTGTATTCCGGCCCCAACTTCTGACGACCTGGATTTTGTGTGAATTCGGTCCATAGAGTTTAACAACTCGCTGATCACGAGTATTATTATTAGGTCATTCCGAAAGTAATTTCGCTTTTTTCAAACAGGCGCCATATCTGATGGAACAAAGGTTTCTGAGAGATCTTGGAAGCATTCGATGCAGCATTTCATTCTCTTTCTGATGGTTGTAAAAATGTTGCAAAACACTCAATGAGCTTTCAGAAAATAACCAAAATCTGCGACCCATGCTTTTTGAGATGGTCAAGTTTCACAATTTTTCAAACCTTACATATCAATCCTCGGAAGAAGTTCGAGTAACAATTTGATAGAGCAAACCTTATAGAATACAGTGCTACTTTTTTCCCTTTCTCGTAGCTCGCCGTAATTTCTTAGAAGATTTTTAACAGAACCATCGGATTTTGGCAGGCTTACCTCAACCACAATCGCATCAAACATCATAATTTTTTAATAGAGACTACCAAGATGGTACTATGAGTTAGCATTAATTTTACAAGGCAAATGAGGGTTTACAGGTTTGAAATATCAAATTTCGAGTTTTTCGGGCACAGCCTGGGGCTCGCTAAAAAGTTACGATGATTTTATCCTCGGAAACTAAATGAATCGGAAACAAAAAACACCCTTTGGAAAGAGGAGAAAATGCTGCATCGAATAGTGCCCGAGCTGCTCTTCCTTTGATGTTCTACGAGGATTTAGTTGTCCAAGTATGGAACTCGGTAGCATCAGTTAAAATTCTGTTGCAAATGTATGACAAGCTATGGAAAAGAGAAAAAAAGTTGCGCTGTATTCTATGAGGTTTGCTCTATCGAATCGTCACTTGAACTTCTTTTGAGAACTGATATGAAAGTTCTAAAAAATTGTGAAACTTGACTATCTCAAAAAGTATAGGTCGCAGATCTTGATGATTTTTTGAAAGGTCATTAACTGTTTTGCAACATTTTTATAACCATTAGAAAGAGAATGAAATGCTGCATCGATTGCTACCAAGATCTCTCAAAAATCTTTGTCTCATCAGATGTGCCGCCCGTTTGAAAAAAGCGAAATTACTTTCGGAATGACCTAATATTTCCGATTTTGGTTGTGGTTGCATTTCTCGAAGGTGCGTAAACGATTAGGTTTTTCCCTAATATAGGGTGCTTGCGGTGGGAGAAAATGCGGTAAAACTTGCGCGTGAACAATCAACCACACCTTTAAAGGCGTGTCTAGGCAAATCTGAGCATACGGGTTTTTTGCCCGGAAATTGATGAGGAAGTTCTAGCTAAGGCACTGCCCAAATCGCAGCGAAAATTGTTCATTCACGGCTGAGAAATTCGTCCTCAAAAACTCCGCAGCTGCGTCGTGACCGTCGTACACTTACGTTAGAGTGAGAGAAGTCGTTCCCGGGTTACGGTCACGGCGCAGGCTCGGGCTTCAGGGACTGATTTCTCAGCCGTGAGTGAACAACTTGCGCTACCTCTTGGGTAGTGCCTTAGTTAGGACCCCTCATCAATTTCCAGGCAAAAACCCATGCGCCCCGCCCCGACTTGCCTGGACACGCCCTTTAAAGTTGGCCACTCCGATGTTGTTCAAAATTATCTGCAGGCAGAGGAACCACCCAGCATACTGACTACGATTGTACCTAGTAGGAGTTTGCGTTGAGGTCTTTGCGCTGTACTACACAGGTGTTCGAAAAAATGTGTCTATTGTCTGATTGCTAGTAACTTTCTTGCACTACCATTTTCTACAGCTGGCTTCAACTTACAATTAGATTTACGATATGGAGCAGATCAGCGATCGCTCTTCATTACGCAGGAGTACGGTAGGAGTTTCCGGCTTATGGCGTCGCTGTGAAAAAGTGGCCAATTTAAATATTTTCAATAAAGTAAATTGTCTGTAGGGCTTTCATGGAAGCTGAGTTCGACAAAACTTTGTGCAAAACTGAAACTTACTAAACGGCGTAACCACATTCTTCAGGAACAACGAAATAACGGACTGCTTACCATAATTTTTCAAGGATGCATTATGATGAGATGCAAAGTTCATGATTAGAATCAGCAACTCTACTTAGCCTAGTGTGTGAATTTTTGGTCGCTTGGTTTCTTTGAGACCAGATACATGGTCCATGGCTCAAAACCTCCTTCAAAAAGTTCCTACCCTAATCCTACAGTAATGGGGAGAGATCGGCGGATACTGTAAATCTAACTTGATGCCAGCGAAATAGTACCTAAAGCTTTTCGAAAGGCTTCATACGAGTTAATAGGAATCAACCAGTAGGCAGGCACATTTTTAAACACCCTGTATATATAACCAACCACTCAGCGCAAGACCTCTTTGTGCGCTACCGAAATCGTATTAGGTTGTCCAAAAAGTAAACTCCATTTCCAAAGAAATTGAGCTGTTTTTGTTTTCCTAATAGACTTAGAGTACCACTCGATAAAGCGAGCAAACTCTACAAAAAAGCCAAAGATCCACTTAAATCGTAATTAAGGTAACATTTGGGGCCAAAAATCCAAATTTTTCAGTTACCCTAAAAATCGGATCTCTTTCCAGAAAATTTGTACGGATTTCCAACTTGGTCTTTATATAGTAGGCACATAGAAGTACCTAAAACTGTATTTGATGGATTTTTTCCGGGGCTCAAAATTGAGAAAAAAAAGATGGTCCAGAAATGCCAAAATGCTACTTTTTCAGGGTTTTTATGTGAAACTTGGTATTTCTCGATTATAAGAACACATACAGGGGTAAGGTTTTGAAATTGTACTTAATAAGATTTGTAGTATACAAAGACATACTTGGGACAAGCTAGGGGCGGAGTTTGCCATTTTTCGATAATTTTGTTTCTCGCTTTCCATGCTCGAAAAAATTCGTGGGAGCATATTTGAGTACTACTATCTGTCTACTGTAAAATGACCAAATTGGAGGTCTGTAGGATTGTTTGTCGCAAAAATCCAATTTTCAGGTGACAAAATTTTTTTAAATTTTGGCTTCAAACTTTCCATGGAATGCGACTTAAGCGGATCCTTGAGGATGTTTTGTAGAGCTTGCTCTACTCTATCGAATCATATTCTAAGTTTACTGGGAAAACAAAAACAGCTTGATGTTGTATGAAAAAGGAGTTTACTTCTGGGACAACCCAATAGTTGTATTAGCATGCTGAAACTCTCCTTCCCTCAAACTTCCTAGACGATTTCGGGCAATGTCGGAATCAAAATCCATCTACCCTAGGCAATTCTGGGAAACGGCGCTAGTGGGAAGCAGAATGAAATCATGAAGCGTGCTTAAGCCCCGTGCCTGAATAAGCTTCGAACCTCTGGATTTTATGCTATTTACCTATCCGTAAGTATTCCTACCATCCCTCACTGAAAACATATTGAATAGGCATGAATGGAGCAGAAAATCAGCGTTAGAGGGCACTCTTTGATTAATAACTCTTCTCCTGCCAGTACGACTGTTTTCTGCTTTTGTGAGAGTATCACTTGCAGTGTATGATTACGAGATTTGTCTACACTCACATCATCATATTCATCATCGTCTTCTTGCGTTCCAGGTTGATCGTAGACGCGGTTCCCTGTCTGCACATATTTATCTGCCCTCGATGGGTACGTCTGGGTTATCCTGCAAGGAATGCTTTACTCGAAGAAGATTTGTTGCTTTTGCTTACAAGCGAATCTGCTTGTGTTAATTGCGCGAAAAACCGTGAGAGCTTCTCGCAAGTGTGGATTTAGATGCAACTAAAAGGTTGTGCTGGGGGGCGGGCGTTAGGTACCCAACCAGGGCTCGGCACGAGCTGGCACCAGGGAATTTTGAAAACGAAGTCCCCTTTGAAATTTGCCAATTTTTACGAAGTCCCCCTTGACTTTTGGGAAATTTTACGAAGTCCCCTTTGATCCTCAACGATATCCCCTCTAAAATCCTAAAAAAATCCCCAAAATCCCCCAAAAAACGAAACGTCGACTAAAAAAAAAAAAAAAAAAAGGTCGTCGCCACCAATTTTGCGTATGTCTTCGCCCACAAAAACGAAACCCCCTTTGCTTTTTGCCCCAAAAACGATATCCAGCTTGCCCCGTGCCAGCTGGTGCCAGGCCCTGTACCCAACCGAGGTGCGAGCGTTAGGTACCCGACCATTAGTGGTATACACTAGGCCACGCCCCCTGGCTGCTTTAACAGCGGGTACCTAACGATGCACCAAATTCTAGCTACTAGAAAGGCTCACCAAAGTCGCTAAAGCGCTGGCGCTTGCGATCCACACAAAATGGATAGTTCGAGAAAATCAAAAAAATGCGCGAATGAAAGCGCAAGTTTACAACGCTTTTTCTATTGCTTTTTTAAATCAATTTTAGAACAACAGAAATTCGGTGATGAAAGCTAAGAACAGGGTAAGGCTTTTATGAGCAGTTCACATAGTTTTGCAAAAAAATTGTGATAATCTGATCTAACCGACAAGTCAGCGGGAGTTTCAAAAAAGTAAACTTTGTAGAATTAATTTTATGATATTACTGAAGCAAAGCGAACTTTCGGAGACGCTCCTGGCAAATAAGTTGCACGACATATTCCTTTGTTTCAAAAAAATTGCTTCAAATATATTTTGACAATGAGAAGAGGAACCGATTGAAAGAAGAGCTTCGACAGAACTTATCATCAGGAATCGGAACTTCAAGGCGGACTATGTGGCCCATTGATATGGGAAGGGCACTAGCTCTCTTCCAGTCAACGAAAATTGTAAATTACAGAGCTATGCCAATTTCGGATGAGTGTCGCTAAGAGAGTGCAACAGGAAAAAGCAGCAACTCTACTGAGAACAATTATTGGGAAAATTTTTTGCTTTTTGGGGAGTTACAAAAAAATGCATAGCTTTGGTTGGATAAAGCATATTTTGGCTACTAGAAGAGAAAAAGAATATGAAACAATTGCACTATGAAGGCCTCCAAAAAAAGCATTGCAGAGAATGTAGGCATGATGAAATACATAGCTCAATGAGATTTTCACACGAGAAATCTTCCAAAATAAAGAAAAATGTGTGCTTATTAATGCCTCATAAATCTGTTGGTCTTAACTATGACCGAAATAATAACCCTAATAATCTACGTTGACATAGTTCACAATTCCTGTGGCAATATTAACGCAAGTGTTACGACCCTTAACTTCACACCTCAAAACGGTTCTGATGACGATATGTGAAAGGAATATTCCGTGTGATATTTGCTAGGGGCGCATCCGAAAGTGCGCTTTTCTTCACTAAAATCATAAAATTTTGATTTATTGGTATTCTATAAGGTTTACTTTCATAAAATTTCCTCTGACATTATCGGTTCAGATTATCACAATTTTTTTGCAAAACTATGTGAACTGCTCATAAAAGCCTTACCCTGTTCTTAGCTTTCATCACCGAATTTCTGTTGTTCTAAAATTGATTTAAAAAAGCAACAGAAAAAGCGTTGTAAACTTGCGCTTTCATTCGCGCATTTTTTTGATTTTCTCGAACTACCTTTTTCATGTGGGTCGCAAGCCCCAGCGCTTCAGCGAGCTAGGTGGGCTATTCTAGCAGCTAGGATTTGGTGTATCGTTAGGTACCTGCTGTTAAAGCAGCCAAGGGGCGTGGCTTACCGTATGTCACTAATGGCTGGGTACCTAACGCCCGCACCTCGGCTGGGTACCTAACGCCACGCACCCGGTTGTGCTAGATACAAATCCTTATCAACTGTAGTGTCGGGGGAGGGCGTGCAGGAGTTCCTAGCACCTTTCCTCGCACCAAGTTCGCACCATCAATCGCACCCAGGAGGGTTCTAGCACCTCCGCATCTCAGAGGTCAGGGACCGCCCATTGCTCCACCCATTAACTGCCCTCATTGTGAGGTAAGCAAGTAGAGAAAACAGAGAATTAGAAATTGAAGTAATGAGAACGAAAAAATTAGAAAAAAGAAGTTGTTTCATAGTTGAACTACATGGAAATAACTATGAACATGTGATTTTCACTGATTATAAACTTCAGTGATAAGTACGCTTTATTCAAGTTAGTATAAAACTTTAGTATGAATGCAGCGCCCAGTTCTTTTTTCAAATTGGCGGTTACCAGTTCAGATATAAAAAACCATCTCGAAAAAAATGTTGCCACTCTCTGGATAGTTTGATTTGAAAATTTGATTGTTTAGAATAAAAAATCGGCTGCAAAAATATTAGGTCGCTCCGAAAGTTCACGCAGTTTTTCAGGCCCATGCACAAAACACTTAGAAGATAGACAATAAGCACTATCCGATGCAGAATTTCTTTTTCTTTTCAACGGCTATGTTTTCGCTGTGACTATTTCGATAAGCACTGAGATAATCGCCGAAAACTAGAGCCCATCATTTTTACCATGTTTAAATTTCGCTAATTTTTAGAATTTTCATTTTGAGTTTATGAAGGCGCTCTAATAACCACCTTCTAGGGCAAACCTTTTGCAAATTAATGCAACTTTTTGCATTATTTCACCCCCTCTGTAGAAATTTGCTGAATTATTTCACGAGAGCATTGAATTTTGAAAAAATTGCAAGACACTTAATTGCACCAAACACTGCAAAACCCCAAAATATTAGGGTTCTGGAACTCGATTATTACTATCACTAGTATTACGAAGTAAGTGAGCGATTATGGATTACTATGAAAATGAAAATTATTATTATTATGAAAATGGATTGATTTAAAAAAATGGACCGTAAAACTGGAAATTACAGCGATTTTGTCTGCAAAAGTCACATGTCTCGCAAAGAAAAGGAAGCTGTCAGAAAGAGGAGGAAAAGATGCATCGAATGGTACCTAAACTGTTCTGCGAGGTTGATGAGCCAAATATAAAATTTGACCACTTCAGAAAATAAATTTTAGTAGTTCTAGAAAGCATGCCAGAGAGATGCAAGCGTGAATTTTCGGAGCGACCTAATATAAATGAAAATTAATCACTTGTGCATTTTCTTGAAGAAAATCGGTCATACTACTAGAAGATTTCGAAATTTACATATTGGGTGGCCAATTTAGATGCTGGCTTAGGGTATTCAGCGTTCGACTTCCCAAATGACTGTATTTATCGAAGGCTAGAAATCTACTTTTCGTAGATTCGACAATAGAAAAAAATTATTTTGTAACGAGTTTTCGGTTCCCTTCACTCTAATATGCTGTTCATATACTTGGATGTTTGTACTTGGACGCTTGTTAGACACGTTCTCTTGTTGACTCGAGCGCTTGACACAAGGTAATCACCTATACATAGCATAACAAAAGATTTTAAGGGAGCAGGTAAAGGTGGCGAAGGAAGTGTTGCTTTACTTTTCTTTAAGACATAACTAACACCGGTAACCAAGATTTTGTGAATTCTGCACTCATTCGCTGTTTCTAATGTTTGAAAAGAAATTGAATTCGATTAACGAAATTTCTCGGATCAGCTTAAGTGGTCCTCGCTTTTTATAAATACAAAGATTCCACTGCGCTTGCACAATCTAGAATGAGCGCACTTAGAAGGCGGAGAAAAAGGCGGAGCCGTTCCTTGACCTGTGAAGGTGTGATGCCCCTTCCAGGTTTCTCTGAAGGTGCTAATCACTCCTGCAAGGAAAGTCGGCGAGGCTTTGGGAACTCCTGCCACGCCGCCAGTGTCGGGTGTACCAGCATCTCCTCTTCCGCGCAGAACTTTGCACCTCTTCTGCGAACATGCCCTCTAATCACTTGCAATCAATTGAGGCTTCGCCTTTCCACACTAGTGGTGGGAGAGTGATCAGAAAGCATGTTCGCGAAAGAGGTGCAGAGTCCAGGCGAAGCGGCCGTGCTTGAGCGGAGCTCGTGCTCCCGACACTGCGGTTGGTAAGCCCTGTATAATATATCCTCCCCAAGATATTTCGGTCCTACAATAGTCTGTTTTCATAGCTCACTTTGCAAAAAGCCAGGGCAGATAGCATTGGCGGCGGCGATAACTGCATTCATAGTCGTCCGTAGATTGAAGCTGTTTATAATCGCACACTTTTGAATACTTGGTAGAAAATGGGGGTTGCATTTTGGATGCGGCGATGCGTACATCTCGCAGGTTTGCAGCACGTTATCAGGGTGATCGCTTTTTCAAATGTCAGCTGGTCCGAAATTGACCGTATGATCGTGCAGGCCTGATTCTAGCATGCGTCGTTTGTCCATTCAGCAAAGAGAGTGTTGCATGGTTTCAGGGTGTATATTCATCATGATTTTTGGGTGATACGTATATCGGAAAAACAGGGCGCCCTTTTTTGATATATTTGCTTTAAAGAAGGGTTAATCAAATAGACCCGCTATTGCATTCGGCAGTCATCGCATTTTGTGCCTCGAAAATGCTGCGGTATGTATTGGAGGATGTATTGGAGTGTCTGTACTAGTGTACGAGCCGAGCCCCTTGCGCGCGAAACCTTGGAAGCATTTTAGACCAACGCCAAAAATCCAAAGATGAATTGGAAGGAAGAATGTATTGCGATCTAATGAGTACCCGCCATCAGCCCCTGTGTGATTTTGGTATGAGGTCAGTTCACCCCGTTTATGAATAGGGAAAGAGATATAACCTGAATATGTAGCTCTCTAACATATCTCTTCAAGTTGTATGTATAAAGCGAGTATTTATACGAACCTTTCCTTTGACTTTCGTACCATTTCGAAATGACTTTTATCTTGGGCTGTGGTCCTATCGTCTAAGGGTTTTCACTTATGTTTTCGACTTTGTGGCTCTGTAGGCGATCTCATCGGAACGTTAGCCGTGAATAAAGAGTAATTACCGTCTGGGGGGTTTATCAAGTATTTGACGTCAAGATTGATAAATCGAAGGAGGATGTTAGACCTTGTGGATATTTGCTCCATCAATATTGTTCTAAGGTTATAACTTTAAACTCTCTGGTGTGATGACATGCTCACTATCAGAAAGTCTAGCAGCAGCTCTTGGTTAGTATAAGGTTAAGAGTACCTGCACAACCCATGTTTTAATTTTGTGTAACTGCTGCAAAGCAGATTTTTGGTGTGTTGCAGATGTCCGAGAAGGAGCACCCCTTTCGAGACATATGGTCCTCTATCCCGCTTACGCGATAGACTTACCTATTTGTCATACCACTGCGCGACTTCCAGCGATCACTCAGCATAGATTTTTTGTGCTCGTCCATGAATATGAACACTATTCGATCTTGAAGAGGCTGAGAGCCAATCAATCTGCAACGAAATAGTTTATCTCTTTTGGCGATTCACAGACTTGTTCTAAATGTTGAGCTAAGAAAGCATTTTCGCACTTCACAGAAATTCTCATAAAATCCTGCCATTTTACTCAGATTATCATCTAATACCATTTCTATACATCAGTGGCGTACCCATTTCCGCTCGAGGGAGGGGGGGGGGCGACAAAAATTTTTTTTCCGATGAAGGTGCGTAGCGTTAGCCACGCACTCCGAAAAATTTTCTGGGATGCTTCCCAAAATTTTTTCGGGCCCCTGACCCTGAAATTTTAGAAAAAGGGGGCATCGCGGCAGCCACGCCCAAAAATTTTTTTTACAAGGCTAATTTTAATTTTTAAAATTTTTTAAAAATTATTTCAATTATTTACAAGTAAAAACTCTGCACATTTTTATAACACACTAGATGGCAAACCCTTTGGTATACACCAAGCTGGTACCACAACGGGTATAACTGTTTATTAGATAGTAGCGGAGCAGCCGCTGACTATTAACAGTGAATATGCGGAACAGCCGCTGACGATAGTGGTATTAATCGAACCAACACCAGAACTGAGTATTCAGGCCCCTTTATGCCACTATTTTGGGCGTGGATAACCTGAATGCTCACTTCTGGCAAACAATAGTATCATACAGAATCAAGGATTGCCTACATGAAAGTAGGCGCCGCCAAGTAGACTATCAAGCACAGTGGAGGGGTGACCTGGCGGCTTAAGTGGTGAGTGAACAGTAATGTCTGTCAACGACAAACTAGTGGATACTGAATATAGCATACAATATGACTCTACAATGGTAAAGGTCGTAGATTCGCAAATAATCTACGACAGTGGGGCGCGCGACGGAAGGCGCGAAAGCAAGAAAATACAAATTACACTATTACTGAAGCGTTAACAAATTCAAATTACATCATCACAACATTAGTTGAATTACATATATCACATGAGTTATACAACAGGTTTGTGTTCTCGTCTAAGAATCCTACGATGGTCGGTCATCGTGCCGTGATCGGCCTTCGGGGCCAGGCGCAACGCTGAAGCGAAATGTCCCAGTTGAGCTTCAGTATTCTTCTTCACCGACTGTCCATGAGTCCTTGTTTTTCGGCGTTTGCGATTGAACTGCAGTCCATCAAAGGCGTTGTTGCGTTGATCGCTTCTGCTTTTCGTTGGTGACTTTACAGGTTGTGCCGGAATCGGAATCTTTGCCGGAATCGAACAGTCGAGCTTCTTCACACGGCGTTTTGAACTTGCGCGGTTCGTTTGTTCAACAGTTGTAGTTGGCTTCTGCTTCACTGAGTCTCCTTTACTAACTGGATGGTAGGAGGCGCTGGTGATTGCGGTGTTTTGCGAATACTCCTCCGTTTTGACTCCGTACATACGACTGCTTCCGGAGATTGCATGGCCGAAAACAGTAGGGGTGAGAATAAGCCCAGACGGAAGAATTGTACATGGTCGATCCCTCAAGATGAATTGATCAATTAGATCTTGACCAATAAGAATGTCCGGTGTGATCCGTCGCGTCTTCAGATCCGGTTGTGCTACTCGAATCTTTCTTTTTCGAATCAACCTTCTATCCTCTGCGCTTAGCCAAGCTGTGCTCATCGTGGAAGTGAGTGTTGACTTTGTATGTATCTTCACATCTTTGGCAGCGACTCCGGCAGACATTGTTCTCAGAGTAAGCGGGACTTCACTGGATGTGAAATTTGCGGTAGATCCTCCAAAGCCGCCAATCTTGAAAGTGGTGTTTTGCAGCACCGGTAAGCCAAGAGCTTGGGTCTTCCTTGTGTTGATGAAGCTCTTTTGTGCACCTCCATCAAAGAAGACAGTCACGGGCTTATAGTTGGTCGATGTGTAGTCGTATGCGAATGCAGTCGCCGTCATCAGTACGTGCTGCATTCCTCCTTCTCGTTTAGTGCTCTTGTTGTGGAGAATTTCAGAATTTTGTGCAAATTCAGGGTCTCTTGGGAGATGTTGATCGCGATCAGATCGTTGCTGTGATCTCCTGGTTGGGGTGCCTCTAGATGCTAAATAGCTACCCATGCATACGGCAGTGTGATGGTTTCCGTGACACTTGTAGCATGACTGTGAGCTGGTGCAATCACTAATCCTGTGATCGGTTTGAAGACATTTGAAGCACAGCCTTTGTTTCCTGGCTTCATCACGTCGCTCCGCTGGTGTTTGGAATGTTGTGCATCGCGTCGCGTTATGTTGATAACTTCCGCAAATGCACTGAGCACTCAAATCTCTCGGCGATGTAACTCCTTGTCTATGTTTGGAAGTGTATGCGATTGACTCTTCTTCGTAGTTCAGCCTCTCATCAACTTCTTGGTCGGAATCAGAGCGTGTCGTGATGTTGCAATCCCCGAATGCGGATGTAGTTAGTGCGAGGGTCTCCTTTAGAGCGACGGCGTTTTCAAGAACGTCCAGGATCTCCTCAGTTGCGAATGATTTCCCTTCATTCTGCTCTTCTCGAAGCACCTTCTCGTTCAGCGAGTTTGGAAACTTCGAAAGTATCAGTCGTCTCCACATTCGGTTGTTGTCCAAGGGTACGCCTGCACATTCGATGTGAGTGAGCTTTTCCGTCACGCTAATCAGAGCTTTTCTACAACTTTGGGCGTCTTCTTCTGCTCGTGGAAGCCTTTCGAGCTCTGTGATAAGCAGATCTGCTATGCATCCAGACTTGTTGAAGCGCTTGTCGAGAAGTACTATAGCTCTGTCGTAGTTCTCTCCGATAACTGGCATATTGCCAAGAAGTGAAGCTGCTGTTCCTTTCAATGCCTGCCTCAAGAAAAGGAACTTGTCCACGTTGCTGAGCTGCGGGTTGCTATGGATCAGCGAGTTGAATATTGTCCAGAATGTTGGATACTCCTTATAGCTGCCATCGAAAGTGGGAACTTCAAGCTGCGGTAGTCGTACTTTATTCTCATTGTATTGTCTGGCGGAGAGAGTACTAGCTGTAATATCTTGTGGTGGAGTCTGGGCCGTTGAAGAAGCGAGATTGTCTATCAGGCTTGACTGTTTCTCAAGTTCCCTCATCCGATACTTCAACTTGCTTGTCCAGTGTATTGCTTCTAGTTGTACACGATGAGCTTCGGTTGTTAAGAAGGAATCTAGATCATTCATCAGCTTTTCCCTCTCTGATTGGTCCTTCTTGGCTCCAATGAAAGTCATGGCATTTTGCATGCGGACCTCCAGGTTTTCTAGCAAACACGTGAGAGAAATCTGTATTTCGTCGATTTCCGCCATTTTGTCGGCTATGAAGACATTGCATTCCGTTACTGTGTTGGGGAATTCAAATGCTCTGTCTATGCTCAGGATTCTGCTCTCGAGGCTATTAAGTGCAGAGCATGCCATTGAGATGGGCGTCTTGAATCCAACCAATTCGGACATAGTTTGTCTCGTTCGCATGGACTGAATGCAGGTAAAAAGCTTGAAGTATTCTTTTGCTGAGCTATGGGTTGACCTGACAGCTAGCAGCAAGCTTTTGATTTGACTGTTGTTGATCAACCGTCAAGTAGCTTGTGAGGGTCGTCTGCTAACTGTGGATTGACCAGGCAGCTAGTTTGACCTCTTTACTAAGCTGTGGATTGGACCAGACAGCTCAATAAGATGACTCTTGTACGTGAAAGTGGTGAACCAGCAATCACAGAGTCCTTTTTTGACTTTAGGAAAGCCAAAAGTGTTCGAGGAGTTCTTTTGCTAACTGTGGTGGACCAGTCAGTCAGCTAGAAACCTCTTTGCTAAGCTATGGATAAGACCTGATAGCTTAACAATTTGACTCTTGTATGTGAAAGTGGTAAACCAGCAATCACAGAGTCCTTTTTTGACTTTAGGAAAGCCAAAAGTGTTCGAGGAGTTCTTTTGCTAACTGTGGTGGACCAGTCAGTCAGCTAGAAACCTCTTTGCTAAGCTATGGGTATGACCTGATAGCTTAACAATTTGACTCTTGTATGTGAAAGTGGGAACCAGCAATCACAGAGTCCTTTTTTGACTTTAGGAAAGCCAAAAGTGTTCGAGGAGTTCTTTTGCTAACTGTGGTGGACCAGTCAGTCAGCTAGAAACCTCTTTGCTAAGCTATGGATATGACCTGATAGCTTAACAATTTGACTCTTGTATGTGAAAGTGGGAACCAGCAATCACAGAGTCCTTTTTTGACTTTAGGAAAGCCAAAAGTGTTCGAGGAGTTCTTTTGCTAACTGTGGTGGACCAGTCAGTCAGCTAGAAACCTCTTTGCTAAGCTATGGATATGACCTGATAGCTTAACAATTTGACTCTTGTATGTGAAAGTGGTGAACCAGCAATCACAGAGTCCTTTTTTGACTTTAGGAAAGCCAAAAGTGTTCGAGGAGTTCTTTTGCTAACTGTGGTGAACCAGTCAGTTAGTTAGAAAACCTCTGCTAAGCTATGGATACGACCTGATAGCTTAGCAAGACCCGAGTTAGTGAAAGTGGTGAACCAGCAATCACTTGGGCCGAATATGGCTAATTAGTAGCCGAAAGGTGCGAGGAGTCTGTTTGCTAACTGTGGTGAACCAGTCAGTTAGCTAGAAACCTCTACTAAGCTGTGGATAGGACCTGACAGCTCAGTAAGACTCTTGTTCGCGAGAGTGGTGGACCAACAATCACGATAGTCGAATATCGGCTGTTAGTAGCCTGCCACGCGGGACTTTTATCGAATTTCGGTGAGCAGCACCGAAGAGACGATCCGTTGGCCGATGCACCAATTTGGTATACACCAAGCTGGTACCACAACGGGTATAACTGTTTATTAGATAGTAGCGGAGCAGCCGCTGACTATTAACAGTGAATATGCGGAACAGCCGCTGACGATAGTGGTATTAATCGAACCAACACCAGAACTGAGTATTCAGGCCCCTTTATGCCACTATTTTGGGCGTGGATAACCTGAATGCTCACTTCTGGCAAACAATAGTATCATACAGAATCAAGGATTGCCTACATGAAAGTAGGCGCCGCCAAGTAGACTAT